CAGCAGGCAGGACTGGCCTAGGGGGTATTTTAATTGGTTTTAATTGGTTTTAACAAAATTTTAATAGAGCGGCCAATTCAAATATTTATTCTTAATTATTTTAGATTTGTATTTGGTATTTATGTGGGATTGTTTTAAACTGGCTGTAAGCCGCCCTGAGTCCTCCGGGAGAAGGGCGGGGTATAAATGAAATAAATAAAATAAATAAAATAAATAAATAATATCAGGCAGAAGGCTACTGAGCCGTATCCTGATTTTATTAATAGACTACAGGATGCTTTACGGCGGCAGATAGACAATCCTGAAGCTCAGCAGGAGTTGCTGATGAGGTTGGCAAAAGACAACGCTACTTCTGAATGTCGAAGGGCAATTATCGGTTTGGGAAAAAATCCTGAATTGGCAGATATGATTAGAGCATGTCAAGATATAGGAACTGCCTCTTATCAAACCAACTTATTGGCAGCTGCTTTGTCACAAGGCAGCAAGCCTCAAGGAAAGTGTTACAACTGTGGCAAACCCGGTCATTTTAAAAGAGAATGTAGAAATCCAGGGGGAGGTATGTCTGCAGCAGTTCGCTCCCCTTTCCATCGGGGAACGAAACCAAAAACAAAATGCCCAAAGTGTCAGAAAGGTTATCATTGGTCTCTGGCCCCAATCCAAACAGAGACAACAGACCAACAATAGGAAATACTCCTGCAGCTATAAAAGGTAGTGCCGGTATTGATTTGATACTGCAGGAGGAAGTTAAATTTAAATTTCCTGGGGAGGTTCAAGTAGTTCCATCTCAATTATCAGGCCCCCTGCCACAAAATTACGTAGTGCTTGTCCTTCCGTGGTCAAGCATGGGTAAAGGCATTTTTGCTATCCCCGGGGTGATAGATTCGGACTATACTGGGATTATTTATGTTCAATTGTGAACCAATTTGCCTCAAATTTTGCCCATTTACACTAGCCCTGCTCAGCTCTTGCATTTGCCTTATTTTGTCCTGGCAGGGGGAGAGTTAAAGGAGAGAGGGGAAGGAGGCTTCGGTTCTATTAACCTGGCCACTTCTGTAATAGCTGCCATCACTACCCCGATCACATTTCAACGGCCCCGTCAGATCATTGTGCTGCAGGGTAAGCCCTTTGAGGGAATTTTGGACACTGGAGCGGATGTTTCAGTGATCTCTGCCAAGCAGTGGCCTGACGCCTGGCCAACTGATCTCTGTCCAAGTGTGTGGGGTGTGGGGAGTTGTCAAAGTGCACGTCAAAGTGCACGATTTCTTTCAGCTCATTTGCTTAACTCAGATTTGGTTATTCAGGTCCGCCCCTTTATATTGGATATTCATGTCAGCCTTTGGGGACGCGACCTACTCAGTAACTTGGGTGCCACCCTCACTTTGGAAGATTGAGATTATTGCCCTCCCTTTGACTTGGCTGGTTAAAGAGCCGGTGTGGATTGATCAATGGCTCATGTCACATGAAAAGTTGACGGCTCTCCACCAGCTGGTTAATGATCAGCTGCTTGCTGGTCATGTTGTGCCTTCCACTAGTCCATGGAATACCCCTGTTTTTGTTATAAAAAAGAAAAGTGGCAGGTGGCGCTTCTTGCATGACCTTAGGGCCATTAATGCCTGTATTCAACCTATGGGCCCTTTGCAGTGCAGAACACCTAACCCTAATTTGATACCTCAAGATCATGAAGTAATGGTAATTGACTTAAAGGATTGTTTTTTCTCTTTTTTTGCAAACGTCATCCATTGGCTTTGGTATATCATTATATGGATGATATTTTAATTGGAGCATCAAAGATACAATCTAATTGGCTTTCTGAAATACAAAATGATTTAGGTATCTATGGATTGCAGGTTGCCCCAGAAAAAATACAGCTGCACTCTCCTTATCTTTATTTAGGGCATAAAATGTTGCAATCTTATTCTGCTCCAGCTTTTCCTCGCTTGAGCATACCCAAAGTTATTTTGTTGGTCAATTTGCAGCAATTGCTGGGCACCCTCAATTGGGTCCGCCCATATTTTTCTTTGCCTACACATTTACTTAGTACATTATTTGATTTATTGACCAAAGGAAAACAACCTGGAGATCTCATTTTAGTTCCACCTGCAGCACTTGCCACCGTGGAGCAAATTAATGGCATTTTGAGTACTCAATTTGTGGACCGAATTCCACATAAAAATTGTTAGTCAACCCTTTTGATATTTCCTACTAGTAAGCTACCTACAGGAGTGTTAGCTGTATTAGAAGTACAAAAAGTATATTGTATTGAATGGCTTTATTTACCCCATACCCCATCCCAAAATGTTTTACCATTTATCCAGGCTGTTGCTGAAATAATAACTTAGGATGCACTCGAGCTTGCCATTGAAATGGGACTGATTTAATGAATATTGTTCTTCCTCTCCCTAAATCTGATTTTCAATTTTATTTTCAGAATAACTTATCTCTTCAGTGTGCTTTAACTGACTATGTAGGCTGTATTTCATATCATTTGCCTAAAGATCCTCAGTTTGCTTGTTCAATGACTTCTTCCTTTCCTGTCCGCCCACTGCTTTCTCCTTCTCTATTGCCACAAGCTCCTACTGTTTTTTCTGATGGAGGGTGAACGAGAGGAGCAATTGCTTATAAGGATCCTCATGATGATACCTGGAAAGTGTCCTACACTGCAGTGCAATCCTCACCGCAACACTCAGACTTATCTCTGCTATTCTAGCTTTCCATAGCTTTTCTCAACAACCTTTTAATTTAA